CGAACGCACCCCAGAGTTACAAAATTGTGATTTGTGCCTATTTTCCCTACCTTATTTTCCTCGAAAGCTAGACTGTAAAGAAGCAGTGAATTCGAAGTGATGTTTTTAATTCAAATTTTCACCTGAACTTTCATATGAAACTCTATCATTGGTGATACCAAAATGATCACGGAATCATGCTGTTTCCAAATATGCTGGTAATTCTGACTTTGAAACACTTTGATCCAAGATCATGGTCCAAGTGGAGGGTTTACGACATGGCCATATCCGTAGGTAACACCTTAGGTGACTGGAGACTCAATCGTGGTTTTCCCTTAGAATCAGTTAGAAATAGTAGGAAAATGTAGAAAATTTGTACACGGTTAGATTCATAATGAACACGGCTATCGACTGGTCTAATTTTCAGATCATTTCGACCACTTCTACGGAAGTTATGGCAATGCGACGGGATTAATCCGTCGCAAACCGTCGATTTCACAAAAATTGGGGCGGTATTGTACAAGGCGTAGAATGGGCGTGGCCGGACGAGTTCCCACTTGTTGGTGCAAGCTCTTTCATCTGATCACCTCAGTCTCACCATACAAAATGGAGAGAGAGTAGTGGATCAACCGTACCATTACGGGGCATTTATCAAAAATCAGAGTTGGGCGTCGCCTTGGCCAAGGGGCGTAGTCACGGTTCCGTCGCGAGCAAGCAGCGCTTTCCCAAGTGTTCTGAGCTGCGAAAGTTGTACATTCTGCACGCTCTTAAGCAGGACTATTGTCCATATAAGACGCATGAACATCAAATGAGCGCAGGGCCGGCCTCTAACATATTGTTTCGGAAGACCACCCTCAGAAACCATGCTTAAAAGAGTCAAGGGTCGTCAGACATCAAATGCATGGTGGTATTTGGTATTGATGACGAAAACGATCAGAGATGAACCACGGCTACCTTGTGTGATGATGTGGACTATAGCGAATCTCTTGCTTCAAAGACAAATCTTGTGACGTCAAAGCACTCTTGAACCGTTGCGACAATAGTCGCACAGTTTGCCGCGCGCGGCGTGGGCGGCGTGACCTCGCCAGCCCGCGATATACCCGCCCGTCTTGGTGTTACCGAATCACGAAGATATGATAAAAAGGAGAATGTGCAGGCCATTTGTAAGATCAATTCTTCTCAGTAGCTACTCTAGTTCTTAAGGACTTGAAAAGCAGACAGCTCTGCTGTCTTGGCGCTGCTTTGGTTGATATCCGTAGCATTCGTAGCTCTTGGGACATTGTAGCATTTCACTTTTCAGGTGCTCAATAATGAGGCATTCGACTATATTAGTAATGTGCAGAAGGAGGTTAACAAAGATGGCACGGTCACTTATAAAGTCGCGCGCCACCCCCCCCCCCCCCCCTGGCGCCGATTCTATTGCCCTCCTCCAGCTGACCCTACAGATGATTATGTTCCTGAATGTGAGTACTCTCTAAAGTTCTTGTCAATGAAATTTAAGTTGGCAACAACTGTTTCAGTGATCACATCGAAGAGAACTGAAAACAATGTGCAGGAGTACAGACGGGCACCATATCAAAAATATCGACACCGTGCTTTCCAGGTTGGTTGATTGGGCCTTCCTCTTGATGAGAGACGTCTTCGTTCTATTCTGCTCTTTTTCCATATAAATCCAAGTTCGTATGTACAGTCCGAACAAGCTCTGAGACGCATGGGTGTGGAGCATCTCTTCCCAATTGCAGCATGGCAGTACGAGTTGACCTGGGAGATAGAGTTGACGAGCAGCGTCGGCTAAGTGGACTGGGTTAGGACATAATTTAACAATGCACCTCACGAAGCGGTGAAGAGCCACTTCATCCAGCAACATCTTGTGCTTACTACATCAGCATGAGGGGACAAAAAAAAGAAAAGCACCAGTCAGTACAAAGTGACATTCGCCATGTGATGCTTTCTATGAGGCGAAGCAGCAGTACCAGCCACACTGGTGGAACAATCTCGAGCCATACCCTCACATCGGCTAGAGGTAGGGTCCAGCTCCCTTCCACCAGTGGAGCTGGAACTGCTGTCTGCCTTCTAGCCAGAGCTTTCATTGCTTCTAGCGTGTATTAATCAGGAATGCAAAACGATAACAAGTACACTCGATAGTACAAATGTAGCAAACGCTAGTGGAAAAGAGCCGAGACAACCCCCCCCCCCCCCCCCCCCCCCCCCCCCCCCCCCCCCCCCCCCCCCCCCCCCCCCCCCCCCCCCCCCCCCCCCCCCCCCCCCCCCCCCCCCCCCCCCCCCCCCCTTTTTTTTTTTTTTTTTTTTTTTTTTTTTTTTTTTGTTTTTTTTTTTTTTTTCCCCCCCCCCCCCCCCCCCCCCCCCCCCCCCCCCCCCCCCCCCCCCCCCCCCCCCCCCCCCCCCCCCCCCCCCCCCCCCCCCCCCCCCCCCCCCCCCCCCCCCCCCCCCCCCCCCCCCCCCCCCCCCCCCCCCCCCCCCCCCCCCCCCCCCCCCCCCCCCCCCCCCCCCCCCCCCCCCCCCCCCCCCCCCCCCCCCCCCCCCCCCCCCCCCCCCCCCCCCCCCCCCCCCCCCCCCCCCCCCCCCCCCCCCCCCCCCCCCCCCCCCCCCCCCCCCCCCCCCCCCCCCCCCCCCCCCCCCCCCCCCCCCCCCCCCCCCCCCCCCCCCCCCCCCCCCCCAATCGCTGGCGCATGTCAAGAGGAGATGGCGCGGCGCCATTTTTTTGCCTTTGGCAGTGACAAGACTGTAGCATATCGTGCGTACAGTCGTTTTCCAGAGCTGGCTCCGCGCCAAATCCACCCCACCAATGCGCTCCTTTTTTGCAGCGACATTAAGCGAAAATTGGTACACCTGCAACCCTGAGACGCGGTGGGCGTGACGGCGTACTTCATTTGAGCATGGTGTAGGATGGTCCTTTGCAGGATACTTCAGTTTAGGAGAATTACAACCACATCTTAACCACGCTTGTTCCAAAATGAAAATATCCCAACAACAATGCAGCCACCGCTTCGTCCGAACGACGTACGCAGCGACGCCTACCGCATCTCGGACGTTTTGACGTTCGAGTTCGGAGACGGGGAGCGGCATTTTGCATTTTTGTTGCTTCCCATTGACGTGCCGACCCATGGGGAGAGCCATTCCGTGAGCTTACAAGAATTGACAGGTTCTACCATGATGGCTAGACGAGCTTGCTCCAGATTCACAAGAGTTCACAGGTTTCACCAGAATGCTTGTAAACCGGAACTAGTGAAGCAACGAAAGTCCTCCCCCCCCTCAGTCATTAAAGTGTGCCTTTTTGACTATAAGTAGCGGTGAAATGGTGGGAGCTGAAAATCCCTTGAAGGAGGTTTCAGTAAATGATGAGGGCGGCCGTGCTTAACAAACCAAATGCCAAGGATATCTGGTCTAGATGTCGGTGTATAAGCGAGAACGATGTGTGGTGTGCAGAGTTGGGGCTATCCACTGATGGTGCGGTTGAGAAGCCATAACACTGCTTTGGTTTTGGACGCCTGTCCATTGGTTTAGGTATTCGTCTTTTGGAGTTGAACGGGTAGGTGGGCTTCAGTAAGCTGGACCTATTGTCAGTGTCTGGTTGAATAGATACTGGCAGGGACTATTTGGCGCAAAACAGGGGCGCTTGGAAGAGGGATCCATTGACTGTAAGCGACGCCGCGCGACAATAGGCGACAACATGCGATATTGATCAGCAGCATCCGGCAGCAATGATACGGAAAAGAAGTCACAGAGAAAGAAAGCCGCATTGTCTCATAGTAGGCGGGGGGGGGGGGGAAGGAGAATAGACGCAGCACGCGAATCTGATTGTAAGCGATATTGAGCGGCAACGAGCGACAAGCGCTATAGTATTTTGTTCTTACTACCCAACTTTTCCATGAAAAGTAGCAAACGCTGGTAGAGAAGACCCCAGACACAAACTCTCCCATTTTCCCCCTCCCCTTGCCTGAAATGAAAAGGGAATACCCTCTTTGACTGTTTCTCTGAAAGTAACATGTACAGCACTGTATTAAATCAATGTATTGTGCCTTTTCAGGCCCCGAACGTTCCCGTTGCTCAGCCGCTTCCCACAGATGTCAGTTTACTTACTTTCTTTTATGTCATTTTCATTCCTAGCTAACGAAGCTTTTAGGCTATCGATGGCGAAAATGTAGTTGTAGAGGAAGAAATTGCACAAGAAGGCATTGAGGTCACCGAGGGACCGGTAATTTTATTTTTTGCTTCACTAGATGCTAAAATAAAAATCGCTGTTGTAGCTTGAACCTACACCGCCAGTAGAACCTCCTCAGCCACCACCTCAGCCACCACCTCAGCCACCTCCACAGTTCCAGCCACCTCCACAGTTCCAGCCACCTCCACAATTCCAGCCACCTCCATTCCAACCTCCTCCTCAGCAGTTCGTAGTAAGTACTCTTTATGAAGATCTACACAAGTTCACTTGGAATATGTTTTTTTTTCAGGCTGAGCCCATCTACTTCCCACAGCCTGCTCCTGCCGCAGTAGCAGCTCCGGTTGCCGCCGGCGGTGGTGGTGGTGGCGGCGGTGGCTATTACTGCTTTACTGGTGACACCAAGGTATGGATTATTATGCTCTTTACTATTATTTATTATGATATTTATTTGAAAAATGGGTCCAGTGTTGTCTTGATCCTCTCTCCTTGCCACGCCTATTGTTGGTCCTAGATATAGAATGTGTGTGAACAAGAAACAACAGATTTCTCAGAGATAATAAAAAATAATAAAGATAATCGGAAAATGAAAAGTCTGGAAGAGAAAAGGGGCGTCTTGGCGGCTGCTGCGTTTCTGTGCCGACTTTCCTCTCTTGTGCATACGTCTTTGCCTCTCCTTTGTCTTGGTCCTCTCCCCTTTCGAGGCCACGCCTCTTGTTGCTCTTAGATATAGAATGTGTGTAAAGAAGTTCCTGTCCAATGCTTCGATAGAAGAAAGAACAGATTGCTCAGAGATAAGTAAAAGTTGAAAGCCCACACTTCCCATGTCATCACCTAGCGCATGGGACAAGAAAGGACCTTGGCAAAGTAATGGAGTTCGGAAAGAAAACTAGTTAAAGAACCAGTACTTTTCCGGAAATCGGAAATCGTTTCCGGAAGTCGGAATTCGAGCGACAATCGGTAAAGGAGGCGCATTTCTACATATACTGCACTCGTGAGCTCATTCAGATAGAAATGAACAGGAGTAGGTTAGGGCTGGCACAGTTGTCCAGAGCTGGCGCTATCCTTGATGGACGTATTCGAGAAGCTGCCCTGTCTACTCTCATTCTTAAGAAGCCGCTGATCCGTGCGGACGGAACGTTGCGGACTACTGGGCTTTCTGGCTGCAACTGATCGCTATTGGCGTTCTTTCATGCAATCCCGCACTTCACGGGTTACTTCCGCGAGCGGTTACGAAGCGGGCATCCTATTTCATGCAGCTCTTTGATCCGATGTTGCAACTGTGGAAAATCACGTTGCACCCGTCACTTCTTCATAAAGCCCAACCAGATGGGCGTGAAAGATGCTTCGTCAGGCGCCGCGCTTCCGCACGCGGCTTCACCCGGCGAGTCGCACATGTTTTGAATTAGAGATTAAAGCAATTATGAACGCAATGAATAATTTATGGGCTTGGTGTATTTGCCAATAAAATGTCCTATGCTATTTTCCCCAGATTGTAAAATTTTGTTTAAAAATCTTAGAGCAATCTGAAAGTACCCATTTGAGGTTCGCGTTATTACTGGCGAAGAGAAACGGCTCGATGAATTGAAGGTGAACGATTGGGTTCAAACCTTAAAGGGCGCTGAGGTGAGGCTTAAGACGTTAGCATTATCTTACATCGTTACAGTAATCCTGCAACATCTTCAAATAACCTGAATTTCAGGTAAAATACGCGCCAGTTTCGTTCTGGCTTCATAGAGTACCGTCACAGAAGGCAGAGTTCATCAGGTATGTGTCATGTCCTTCACGATCGCCTACAATCGTAACGTTGAATGGCTCAGTCAGTTCCGATCGTATGGGCGGAGTCAGGCCTACTTGAAAATTTTGACCTTCCTCTTGGAGCGCGACGCACCAATGATAAAGCTCAGTGGTTCAAATGACTCCGCCCACACGATTATCACGGACTTCAAGTGCACGTGGAGTCTTGTATTGAGCAACGGAGAGAACAAACTGAAACTGAGGACTGGTAAATAGTCCATGTGCGTCACCCTAAAATAGGGCTCAAATATTACCTTATCTGAGCTTTTCAGGCTAGAGTTATCCGACGGAACTATACTGAAACTTACCGCAAAGCATTTCATCTACAAAACTCAATGTGCAGTCGAGGGGCAGCAGGTAATGTTTTCTGTTCACTCACAGCGTGAAAATATTTCAAAAGCCCTCAGTAAATCTGAAAATTCCGAAATTTCATGTTCTCGGCTCGATGTCTTCGTTGATGTCGGTCGGGAGGTCTATGTCGCGACAACGCTAGCCAGTTTTCCCTTTAGATTGTTTCTTCGATTTTAGTCACAAGGAAGGGAACAAAAGGAGAATCCCATGGCTTTCCCAGCGAATGTGGCCAAAAAGCTGATCAGTCTTTTCCTCCTAATACTTAATGGAACTGGCTAGTTACCTCTGAACGCTGTATTAATTCGTCGTCGAATCGACTAGGTGATGGAGGAGAGGAAAGCATGTGAGGCCATCGAACGCAGCGACTACAGTAACCAGTACCTAGAGCCCGGGTTTGGGAACCAAGAAGGGAGATGAGATAAACACTGCGCACTTAAAGAGGAAAAACCGTAGAAAAGTCAGCAACCGGAAACATTTTTTCAAGAGTGGATCAGGCCACCACCCTTCAGTCACCAAAGACGACAACCTTGGCTCTGGAGCCCAGATGTACGAGGTGCCCTGCCCATACCATGTCTGTCTACAAATAATAATTTTCGCTGCAGACGCTGGTCTGTGTCAGGGGGCTGTCTGGCGCCACGCCAGTCCGTTTTCCACCAGTCTTTGTCGCTTGCCCGCTTCAATAATTTCTGAAGTATGGGCCGGCATCGCGCCAAACCTAGCCTCCCCTGATAGCCCCAGCGTCTGAAGTAAAAACGACTGTGGCAACTTCTTTTTAAGGCACAAATAGGTCTAAAAAATTGCAGTCGTAGCTGATATTTCTATTTATACTTGACAATTGTGAATATTTCCTTGCCTTTTTTTGCTTTTTTCGGCAATTTTGAATCATTGTGATGATTTCTTCGAATCATTGGGAAGGTACTGTTCAGATCACTACTGACGAACTGTCACGGGAAGCTGTGCTCGCCGAGAAGGTCGCCGAAGGGGACTGTTTGTATCAGGTCGTAGGGGTGAGTACTGAAGACTTTTTGATCGAGAATCTGACGGTTCCGATCCTACAGTCACTACCATGCGAACGACAAAGGTACGAAGGCGTGATATTGAACCCCAGCCAGGGCAACCTTTTCTACCAGTTGTTGCTGGCTCAGAATTGTAGCCATTGGTGGAGAAGCCCATCCTGCCTGCGTTCTAATCCACACTCCCTCCATGCCTCTCGTTTGAAGGGATTATGATATCATGGCGGAAGACAGTTAAATAGCTATATGACCCTGAGTTAATTCATCTTGTTGTAATGTTTGTTTATGTAGGATGACTATGTTCGGACAGCTCGAGTGGCAAAAGTGTCAACGGTAACTGAGACTGGAATTTATTCACCGATGACATCCAATGGCAAGGTCAGTTCCTTCCTCTGTCAACCTTTCTTTCATCTTTCAAAGCCTAACAACCGCGACTGTGATGGGCAACATATTTAGACGCGCGCGGTCGCGTCGCGGCATTAGAATTTATACGTGGCATTATCTTGACATTGGTGACTATTTGTTTATCTCTGTAAAACTAATCTGTCATATTTAGATCGTAGTCAACGGTATCTACTCCTCTTGTCACAACATCGTTCAGAGCTATTCACTACAGAACACATTCTTCAGCGTCAGTCTGCTTCTGAAATTTTTCGGGAATATTTATTGCTTATTTTTCATGTCAGTTTTTTTCAGTATGCTGATAGCCTGAGAAAACTCTATGCTTCACTCTTCTCAACGCAAACGGATATTGTGAGTTCACTTCTGATTTGAATACACTGAAGTGACATTGATTGATGTCTGGTGATACACTTTTTGCAAGCCGCATGGCAACCGCGCGCGCGTCGATCTGTAAATCACACGCCCCTTTTGGATGGATGAGACTTAAAGGCAGTGGCACCCAGTTGCCAAGGTGCACTTCACCCACGCTACGCTCAAGGCCTAGCGCTTGCGCCGATACCAACGTCCCGCAGCGAAACGCGCACTCAGCGGTAGAGAACAATCAGAAGTGAGAGAGCGCAGACAAGTAGCGCGTTTGGCTATGGTTAGGCGTGTGGCTGGGCCATACGGTAGCGCGGGGACGGCACTCGGGCACCATTTCTCTCCTTTCTTCCGGCGTTCCCGAGTGCCGTTCCCAAGTGCTATTGAGCAGAGAAAGTGGCATGCTACTGCAGCTGTGGACCCATTCACCTGGTACATGGCAAGAATCAGGGTCCACGGAGGTTTGTGCTTACAATTTGTACTGACCGTACAGTTGGGTCCAGGGACACCCTCTATAGGCGCATGCCGCCCTATGTTGCCCTTGTCTGCATGCCGCCCTTGTCTTTGTGCTCTCTCACCGCTCGTTTTTCGGTCTTTTTTTTCGCGCTTTTTAGTGTGTCATTTCTTCTGTATCTTGAAGATTTTTACCACCTCATGACTGTGCAGTGACTACGATCAACTGGAGGATGAGGGCCTTAATGAGAGCGGTTTTCCATGTATTCTTGTTCATGAGAATTTTTTTGGACTTTATTATTCCATGAACACAGTTACTATACTCTTGTTCGCTAGTGGATGCTGGCGCTTGTCGAGGAGGATGGGTTTGGGGGGGGGGCGCCAACCCATTCTCCACCAACTGTTGAATCAGACAAGCGGCAACAGTTGGTGGAGATTTTGGCGCTGCGCCAAACCCAGCCCCTGACACGCCCAGCATCCTCAGCGATCAAGACTGTGCTTACGACTCGCTACGGCGGAAAGTGCCTAGCCAAAAGATGACATTTATAATGAAGTTTGTAGGCTGAATTACCTATGGGAATGGATATTATTGCAACAATGCTCGAATTCGTCATTCCGAAAGATCTCGTTACTTTATAATTGAATTATAATAATCAGCTATAATTTGGTGTGAGTAATAATTACACTTGTAAACCATATAATAAGATGGCTTAGTCGCAATGGGTTAGCACTTTTACTGTGAATCACATGATGCTTTCTCTGTTGATACTAAATTACGTTGAATCACAAGCATTGTTCGTGTTCCCAAAACGTTATGCTATTAATATTCGAATTCTACTGTGAGAAAAATAAAATGGAAACATGCTTGTGAAGTAGTTGAAAATACAAAAAAACGAGTAACAAATCTTAAAGGCAGTTGGCACGATGGTTTCCTACTTAGCCTAAAATGCTAGTAGGGCGCTGTATAGTGGGGAAATGGCGAAAGAACGGAGTGAAACGGTCAAAATCCTGCGAAGAAAAAGCCTCCGTTTCTCAGTGACTTGAAAATCGATTTCGGACGAGTTTCCCGTAGGCATCTTGCCAATCACCGCTACCAAATACGGCTGTGCATATGTGTACCCATGTATGCATGGCAGCATCACGGCCGCTTCATACCAATCCTTCGCTTCATAATTTCCTTAGCAGCAAATGAATGAATACGAGCGTCAAGAACGGTCGTCCATTTGTGGGCGGGGCGGCGTGCGGGGCTTTGGCAGCGTAGAAGTTGGGTTTGATAGGGCTCTTTATCAGGGCACTTCCTCGGGAGAATCGCTATGCAATGGCGCCTGCCCGCGGTCGCAGGAATTCTGTCCATAGCTAGGAGTATTGAATCCCCAGTCGCGTTAGGGGATTTATCGTGCCAACTGCCTTTAAAGGAGGAATTCGATCCCAAAAATGTTCCTGTGAGTACAAAGTAGCGGAAGGGTTGAGAGTGGAGTTTCCCGTATGCATCCAAGTCACAAGTTTGATCCCCGCGGAGGCACAAACCGTGCCAGGTTGACAAGTCAGCTGATGGAGCCGTCACCACAAAAGTGATTGGAAGGTCGCAAAAGTACCAGCGTTAATGCTAAAGAACATCACCCAACGACGTGGCGCGCGGACATGCAGCTCGCGCCCGGTTCGGTAAGCATGCGAAGGCTACAGAGGGGGTAACTTTCGAATGCGTCGGGAAGGAATTCGGGCAGAACAGCCGCTAGCGCCGAATTGGGGCACTGACCATGGATGCGCTTTAACCTCAGAGTCTTAAGAAGGTTGCTGTCTCATGCGACAAGAATGCCAAGTCCTTTGTGCTTTTGGGAGACGCGCCTGGTAAAGGAGCCAACGTCACCGAGGTTGAATAAGGTTAAATTTTTTTTACAATGGAGGACATAAAAAAGGAATAGGCATAGCGGCAGCAGAATAAGGACTGCGTCCTCTCTGTGAGCAGGATCAGTGGTCGAATCATGGGTGTGCGAACAGACATAAAAAGGGGCATTGGAAAATAGCGATTGTGTACGCATGGTAATCCTGGTGCTCCGACCTGGAGAAACTTGAGCTCTGTGTGATCCTGAATGAGGCTATAGGATGGATTCCGAAGAGGTCATATTATAGCTGGTGATCTATGGGATATGAGAGTACGGCTTCAGAAAAGGGTGCAGAGGAAACACGAGCAGTGCCTTACTATAAAGCCTCCACCCTACTGCACATTACAACTTACCATGCTCATAAATTGCTTAGTGAAATGCAGGTTGCAGTTGTTTAGTGTAGTTACGATTTTCTCCTCCCACCTAAATGAAGCCCGCATTCGGTAACTCAAAATCTTAAAGTCAGAAAGAACTGTGAAGAATTCATTCTCAGAGAAACGCAGCCGAGCAGAAAGATGTGAAAGAGTACTGCGAGGGACTCCTGATCGAAAAATCACCTCGCAAGGACAGCCCTCAGACAGAGACGATGGCACGTGCTATCAGTCCGTGGATAGAGAATGAAGTGCGTCAAGAGACGTAATGGGTTCACATGGGCTACCGATGAGGCATGGAGAGCCCTTGGAAAGCATGGGATAGCTCGACTCGCACACTTCGTAGAAAAGTAACATCCGAAAGAAGGGTGCCGGCTGCGTGGACCTGGCGTCAAGTTAATTATACATAACATTAAGCCATGGGATAGAGTTGTTAACAGAAGGCTGAAAGAACTCGTTCCTACCTCGCACGAGCAGTTCCTTCCTGCCAGGAAAATTCACCCCTGATTGCATTTTTATCGCCAGTCAGGTAATGGAAATGTATCTAGAGAAGTGGCGACCCTGTTACCTAGCCTTCCTCGACTTTGAAGAGACATTTGACCGCCTACCCTGACCTGTGCTCTGAGCTCAGAGAACGAAACGTCTCGGAACACCAGGTCTCCTTAGTGAACAACATGTACGACGGGACTCAAGCTTACGAAACCTCACCCAAGCAACCTGGAAACACACTTTGTTCCCATTTTGATGCTATGGGATCCCAGTTGTTGTGCCTGCTGAACTCTCCATAGTTCCGAGGAAAGGTGGAAAAGGTTCATTGAGATATGATGAGGCGTAGTTCAGATTGCGGGAGGTGGCATTTTGCACATCCGCTACTCTCCATCGACGTTTCGAGCCATCAAATGGAGACCGATGAAATCCTGTGAAAGCTGGACGTATAGCAGTTCGGAGGGATTACTAGTCAATTTTTGCAAAACAATGAACAGGTCGTGGGGAGTAGCAAAACTGCAGAGTACCTCTCCCCAACCGAACTGAGCCTATGATGGCCAATGAGAATTTATTTATTGGTCTAGTGATTAATGGGTAAAAACTGCAGGAGATAGGTAGCATCCCAAACGAAAGGGAGGTGAACGCTCGCCGTGGGGATTTCCTGTTGGCGGTCAGGTTCATGGGGGGTTCACGGCGCGATGCACGCGGTAGCGCGAACCAGCCAAACTGGTAAGGATCAACCGGTAGATGCATCGCAAGAATGCGACGATTCCGCAGGGTAAAAAGCCAGGTCTCTCACAGAAACGGATCGACATGCTTGATTTATTACTCGCTTGTAGTAGGTAAATACATCAGAGGGGAAACCCGTCCTGACTACTCTATTGTACGTTACTTTAACTACTTTAATTGCGAAAGAGATGCTGTTTTTCTTGTGACAACGGCTGAAAATGCGAAAAGTCCTCAGAGTCTGAAAGTTCGGGGTTGCTTGCTTGGCTTTGTTGGAGGGGCTACGTCGACAAAATCGAGCTTGCTCTCCTACAATTGAATATTTTAGAAGTTCTCTTTAGGTGAACAACTTCAAACAATCGATCTCGGCAGCATCGCCTGTCTGTTAGGTGAGATCGGTGTGCATAATACTTGGCATCTACACCGGCAAGGGTGAGGGGGAGGGAGGGGAGGGGGTAGGGCAGCAGGCTCGGGGGAAGCAATTTTTTTGAATTCCCTTCTTAAATTTCTTTTGAGTGATTTATGCCAGATTTTTGACTTCTTCTTCCCCTACCGTTACTTAGTTTCTGGTCCCGCAGGATAAGTATAAGGAGAAGGTCCGTCCTTTTTTGTAGACGTCGCTACCTTTTTTATCTGAAACACCTTCAGCCAAGGCCTGGGCAACCGAGGGGTCCTTACCGATGACTTCCTTCCATCTCTCCTCTAGGGCTTCTTGTGGCAGCTTTTCTTTTACTTGACGTCCACTGCATCCCTTATCGCATGATTTTCAGATCCTTTCAGCTCGTGCCCATGCCATCATAGTCACTGTCGTTCCTACATTCACACATCGGGTTAGTTGATCGGAGGGGGGTCTTATCAAGGCCCATATCTTGGCGGAGGAGTCGGACTGACAAGGCATTCTCCACATCCCAATGATAGCCCCTGGGTGACCCTGTGTACAACAGGATTGACAGGGCGGCACCGATGACATTTCAGTATTGAAGTTTTTCATTTGAGTTCGGGTTCCGAATACATTGGAGAGCATAAAAATTTCGAAATTACAATTGAGGAACTTGAATACTTGCAAATTCCAGTGAAAACTTATCTGGAATGATGCGTCTCAGAATTATAATAGATTTCCTACGCAAAAAAATATGGCTCGCTCAGAGTGCACTAAGATTCTCCCAGTTGTTCTAGTATAGTTCATGAGTCATTTTTCAAACATTTTTACATGTTTTACATAAATTGGTTCCAAGGCCCCAGTGAGTTAGTATAGATAGCACTCAAAAGTCATCACGATAGCTGATGGAAGTGGAATGCGCGGCGCATCCTGAAAAGACTTGATTACCGCCGAAAGCTAAATCTTTACCATAGTATCACTAGAAGACATAGTGATGTCGCATGGACATCCTGTTTAGAGGGGGGGGGGGCTGTACTGACCCACTTTCTGCGACGCTATGCTTGACCCTGTTTGTGAAAGGTTTAAGTAGGCGTATCTGATATGATATACAAGTCTCTTTCTGATGTGTATATAATTAAAAGCAGACTAACGTAGCCTCTTGTTCTCTTTCCACTGATTCCACAAATTCCCCAAACCTTTGAAACTGGGCAGTCAGTCCTAGACATTCCCTGGAGATTCCGTGATTTTCAGAAGATTTGGGTAACTTTCCCGGATGTTGCTGGAATACTTTGGAAATTTTCCGCGAATTTCTTACAAATTTTGACTCTTGTGTTTGCTATCCCGCAATACGGCTGCCATTTTTTCCGACAGTAACTGTTTCTATTCCAAGGCGATGGTTGTGAGGTTGATTGTGCTCCTGGCACTACTCAAAGAATCATTGGCGTCATTCTGTGGGTCGTCAGCAGTTCCATTCAGTCTCGAGGTGAGTATCTCGTCCATACTGCTGTCATACGGTCGGTTTTTCGCATTTTATTTAGTTCTGACAGCCATATCTGAAGACTCTGTCAGAAGCGTTACCCCTTACCGTATGGGCGGAGGCTCTCATTTATTGTGCCTTCCTGATTTTTGCACCCATCACTCCGAGTTGGAGCATTCTGTGCCTCATTACGGATAATTCTGCAGCATTGACCCCCCCGTTAAGCCAGTGTAGAGGCCTGCGATGATTAAAGATGCCGTTTGCACGCGCTCGTGGGGTGTTAGCTGTGACGCAAACTATCAAGGCCTGCGCATCAC